TGTTCGGACATGACCCTAAACACGATGATAGGCGAAAGGCAACAGGCTCCTGAGGTTGGGGTATATTTTGGGGTCGTAGGGGCTTGTGCAGTGTGTGTTTGAATTAAGAAAAAGGAGCATTGTGACAATGTCTTTTCTTCCTCTCTCACTCTCTCTCGCCTTTGTGTCTTTTTGTCCTTTTGCCGGCTCATAGCATTGGCGCCTTATTTAGTCGTGCTGGAGTGCATGATCCTGTCTTTTGCTTTTTTTTTTCTTGTTACCTCCTGTCCAATTGTCCTTTTCTGTCCTTCTCGTGCATACCTCAGTTTTGGGGTCATCTCATCTCTTTATGCCTTTTTATTGGCTACCTCGTTAAGTTAAGCTCATCTATCTGAATGGGTAATTTTCTGTTTGCACTCGAATGTGGTTGTGTACAGTCTCAAGAGAAAACGGAAGGGTGCAAAAAGTCGATGTCTTGCAGATGCTACATGGTGTGTGTGTGTGTGTGTGTGTGTGTGTGTGTGTGAGAGAGAGAGAGAGAGAGAAGTCTATTGGCTGAGATAGATGGGAGATAGAGGGGAAAGCATGTAGAACAGTGAGGGTGTCATGAAGCTTTAGTTTTCCTTCGTGGAAGTACAAAACAACGTGCCCATACACAAAGCGCCTCCCCAGTAGAACCAGTGAGGCCACTGTAGCACCTTCGGCTGAGAAACGTTAGACTTGAGCGGTCGCAGTCTCTTGTGAATATTACCACTTAATTTTGGCTCAACGTGCCCTTGCAGACTCGAACTGACCGTGTCTCTTCATCCGCTCGACTAGAACCGATTGTCGAGCGCAACTGAGCCTTTATCAGTGTAGTTTGGCATCTCAGAGGCTCGAAGGGGTCAATCGCAAAATAGATTCCTCTCACGGATATCTTACGGGATTTGCATAATGAGACTTCTGCCTTTGTCTCCTTTGGAGTAATAGTTACATATCTTGTTGGTGTAGTTTATGATCTCCAGAGTTATCCCAGGACCAGGACTCTCCAGAAGAAACAGAATGAGGGTGATGCTTCTCACAGCGGAAGAAGGTTTCACAGTCGGAAGACCCTTTCCTAACTTCGTCTTTTTTTAATTATTATTTTTAATTATTTGATTGGTTCAAGGGGTTGGTGGGGGGAACGAAGAGGGGGGCAAGAGGGTGAAGTGGAAAGATAGGCTCGTATATAGAATTTGCAAGATGGTTTGGGTTTGGTAAAGGTTGTCATGGATTGCCTGGTAGTGTGTGTGGGACATGGGTAAAAATATATAGAGTAAAAAAATCTAGAGTATGTTACAACAGTCACACTCGTATAAAAACGGGTGGAAAAAGAGTTTGCAGGGAATATGCTTTGAAGAGCGATAAGAGTAGTGGGGCCAACGAAAGTTCTAGCAAGCTAAATGAAATAACGAAGGAAAAACAGTGTGTGTGTGTGGGGGGGGGGGGAGGAGAAAGGGGTTGTTTTAAACCATCATCACGGCAGACCTTAAATTGGTGAACCTTTTTCGTTTGCACGGAAATGAATCGAAGCGGTCGTCGCCTGACCGGTACATCAAAAACTTGGCCTGTGTGTCTGCGGGCGGAAGCCTTGGTTGAGGTGGTTTAAGTGTCTGTCGAAGTTTGGTCTGCCTCATATGACTTGGTGTGGCCAGGACCGGTACATCAAGAGCGTGGCCTTTGTGTCTGTGGGCTTGAGCCTTGGTTGAGGTGGGTCTGAACTGGTATTTTAATAATCTGTGGAAGTTTGCTCTGCCTTATACGACTTGGTGTGGTTCAGAACATGGTGTAACCAATCGATGTAGCCGTATTCTTGTGTAACGAATGATCATTCTTGTGGAAACGATAGTCAATTTTTATATGATTGCCTCAGTAGTGCAAGCGGGAATGTATCTTTTGCCAATCGTGGGAACATTGTAGGTAGGACCACTTTTGTGAGTTCTCATGCTCGTGGCACCGAGGTTCTTCTTGCTGCATCCAATCTCATAAACAGCGAGCGTATCTTTTGGCAAAACTTGGAACAATGCAGCTGCGCAATTTGCACATTTAGTGAATGTCAGAGCAGAGAGGTCCTCAGATTCAGCTGCCGATCTGAGCTAAATCGATGGCCGGAGCTTGTTCGTTGGAAGAGGAATCTAGTGGTGCGGAAAATTCTCCCTAATCTGCTCTGGTGCAGGATCCTAGAGGAAGAGTACAGCTTCAGTTTCTGCGTACGTGCGGGTGCTGGCGGGTGACACCGAGGCCATACTTTAGATCCCTGCCCTTTCTCTCAGACAGAAGAGCTCTGTTGTGTACGATGACCGTGACTTGCAGTTTGGGTGGTTTCAATCTTAGACGTCGAGATGCGCATTGCTCTGTTTCAGAGGTCATTTTTTAAAGAAGATAATTTGAAATTAATTTCAGCTCATGGAAAATATCCCCATAACTTTCCAGTCTTGAGGAAATGCCCCTCCAGGAACCCATGTTTGCACTATGTTTGCTGCTGAACCATGGGCCCGTTGGTTGCGCTGTACCTTGAGACCAGTTGTCTACAGTCGACTTCTAGTGCCATTGTATATGCTACATGATTTGCAGTAAAAGTGCCCCTTGCTCGTTCATAGTCTGCGAGGTGCGTGTTTCTCTGCTTGTAGTTTGTGGTTGGTAGAGAGGTAGGGATTGGGGTGCGCAAGCTGTTGAGGTTTGGGCTGCTAACGAGTGGGTGAAAGTCTGCTGACGCTCTGTTGCAGCCTTGCGTTTTTCTTATCGAGTGTTTAGCAGGCATACCGCCTGCGAATTCACAGTTGCATGCATGTGTATAGACAATTAGCTGAAAATCGTCGAGAGAATGAATATCCCTCGGCACTCTGTTACAAGGCACAGGCTCAGTTTTGGTTATCGGGTTTGTTAAGATGATATATCCTTACCGTACATACATGGGTGCATGAGTACGGACAATCAGCTGAAAAGCGTTTGAAAATATTGATGTGGTGTTGTCTTTGCTATAACTTGTTTGTCAAAACACATTCTGTGCTGGATGGGTGCAGTAGTCTGTGTTGTGTAGCTGAAAAAGCAACACAAGGGGGCTATACTAGCCTTGTACGAGCTGGATTGTACCACGGCTTCTTATCTTCATCTCTTCGACAAGACAATCTCCATGACGGAGTAAGCATTGTTGTATATTAACACAAATCTGCGTGCTGAGTTGGATGTGCTTGGAAAGGGAAGCGTGGGCTGTCTCTGTCTCTCGTTCTGGACTGATTGACAAATGTGCCTCGTACATCTTCCCTCCCTCTCTCTATCTGTTTGGTATCCTCTTCATCCATGTTATTGGTGATGCATACGTGATCTTTTCGGCCAGGAAGGCCATGAGAGTTCATAGACTGTCTCTTATACACATCTAGATGTGTATAAGAGACAGGTCTGTTGATGGTGGTCTTAATGGGAACACACCTGTTGTTCTTAGCTTTATGGCCATGTATCCTGACGAGTCTCTTCTGAATGTATCTGGCCACAATAGAGGATGGCTACGGATGTATGTGAGAGCGCACGCAAGGT